TGCTCCAGCTTCAGCTCCTGCTCCTGATTCCGATGGGCGAGCAGATGACACTGAGCCGCTCGACAGTCACCGTCGCCGTCGCCGCTTGACATATCCATTAGGCGGAACAGAAGAGCACAGAACAGCCAAAAAGTAAAGTCCCAGGAGTGCGGTTCGGTTTGCGACCAGGTACCCATCATAATTATTAAATGCAGCTCAATACATTTGCCTCGAATCGCTGGCATTCCTGCGCAGCCTAATGCCCAAAGATATTTCTTGGAGCCTCCGCAGCCGCCGTCGGCCTTATGACTATGGAATGCAGCCCAATCGCACCAAAAGCGAGTTGAGTAAGAGCGGTGTAGGTGGGGGTAAGGACAATGACTTACCCTGTATTTGGGTTTTTAAGGATTTAGTCAGAAAGAATTTCAGATATCAGATATATCCAAAGATTGGTTAGGTCTATGTAGTAGTGGTTATAAGAAAGTACTTTATTAAGCCATCTTATCGTATCTGTTTATCAAACTAAGTAAAACCAATTTTACCAAAAAACTTAAAGAAACAATATACCCCTTAATATCTCCTTACTACAGGGAATAAAAATGTGACTGGGACTTTAACTTTGACTGGGACTCGGGACTCCTCTAGGCTCCTCGCAGAAGACTCCACTCTAAACGCCGGCGCGTCTGCAGGAACAGGAACAGAAGCTGGAGGTGGAGATGGAGCTGGAGCTGGAGCAACAAGAACGATGTAAATTAAACGAATACCTTGCCACAGCGCCGATCTTTCATCATCGATGCCACATCCTGACCGTGCCCCCGTCAGTCGCCACTTGCTTATGAAGTTATTTCATCTTCGTTTCCAATCACTGAGCCTGCGATTTTTGCTCTTCCATTTCGTTTTATTTCATTTTTCGATTTATTGAATTTCGTATAAATTAAAATATTAAATATTTTCAGCGACAAAACCTTTTAATTACCCAGTTCGTTGTTACTTTGTCGTTTGGTATTTTTGCCAAATTTTTCATAACCTTCGGGCTAGGTTAACGAACTCGCTCTCCTTTATACAAAGTCACAAAAGGAAAGCGTTTAAATTGAATTTGGGTCCCTTTTTGAGGGGACCAGGACCTGTTGTGTGGGGTCCACGTAATAGCATTACAATACATTACTGCATGTGGGATACACTTGGGTCAGTTATGGCCAAAAATAAACGACACCTTGGGAAGGTCTATTAAAGAAATGAAATACAATAAAAAATGATTGACATCGAGGTGTTATTTTCCCCTAATGCCCCCTGAATGTACATATTCCTCGCAACAACCCTCGTCGTCCCACTGCCAGGCATATAAATATTCAGGTACATGGAATCAGATTAAATTATCTTAAACAAATTGAGACGCAGACAAAGAGGCAACAGCCAAACTTTGCCATTGCCCGAGGGTGGAAAACCCTGAACTAAAAAAAAAAAACGAGTACATTTAAATTATATTTTTGGAGAGATTTTCAGTGCCCCGGCAATAACCCCACCATATGTAGGTAGAGCAGCACACTAGACTGCAATAATAGAGATTTACTTTCTGGCCCCGGGCTCCCCAACGAAAGCCAGAAAAGTGCGGTGGTCCCTTTGTTGTTTGCGGTTTTATTTGCCCCTTTGCCTCTTTGGCCTTTTGTGTGGCGAGTGGAAAAGCCTTTAAAGCCTGGCCAAGCGCGCATCAGAAATGGCTTTTAATTGCCTTTTAATTGTTTTCGCAAAATGAATTCGAGCGGTGCCCTAACGGTATGCGTATTTGGCCTAATTACACAGCTTAAAAGAGCCAAAAAAAAGGAAGTTGGGAAAGGGGTGAGTTCGACCGCCTTGGAGCGCAAATTTTGTCATTTATTGGACCACTGGGCGTATGATTTGATTGAGCCAGTGACACAGTTAGCCGGAGTCACTCACCACGGGGGAAGTTCCTCATCTGCTCTGGAGTTGGATATTTTGATTAGCACCGCAAGCGCAATTGTCAACAATATGACATTATACGGTCTACTTCGAGTATTCCCCAAACGAAAAAATCATGCTTCGTTAGGCAATTTAAATGGGATTGCGATTGCTTTTTGGCGTTCATTAGAAAGAACCGAAGAAGTGAGTTAAGAAGGTTGGTTAGAATGAATGATTCATAAATATTTGTTTAGCTGATTGATACATAAGGAAATATAACTTAGAAATTATATATTTTAATCCTCTTAGTTATTAAAGAAAAGCTGATGTGTATTTTACAATGATAGAGAAATACCATTGAGCATTGTTCCATGATCCAGTTAATCTTTCTATCATTAGAATTACAAAAGTATCCAGTTTGTTATTATGATTATTATTATTATGTATAGGAAACGTTATACCAAAAACAAGGTTACTTTTGTTCCCTTATAGGATTTATTTGCTGTAATATAAATTGCTTACCGACAATTATTTAAAATTTTAGAAAGCTTTGCCTTCCATATATATTTCATTTATTTTATTAATTTACAAAGAGATGTCATTATAATATGATACATAAACATAGTAAAAGCAACCTCAAACCAGCAAAATGTTTATTTGAGGCAAACTTAAGTTCCTTTTCTGAAACTAAAGAACCCTAACATGAATTTCTACGTAGCAGCTTTTAGTTTGCCTGTCAGAGGTTCTTATAAAAATAGCTTTCCCATTTAGCTATTTAATATTTATTCCCCCATATAATATCTTAAACAGCTGTAATCTTTCGTCTGCCTTTCCTTTGAATTAAGTGTCGCTGCTCAAAGCGAATGTCCCGCGGCCTCTACAGTATTACATTTGCATTTCAGGTTGTATCTGTATCTGCAGCGGTGTGGCGATGATTCGATTGTATCTCTTACTCCATCCTCAATTGTGGCGCATGAAAGGTGATCGATACCATAATGAGCGTATTCAGAGGACATCGACAGCAGTGGCAGCGGCAGTGGCGTCACATAATGTGGCCGTGTGTGGGAGTATGGGAGCTGGCGCAATGCGTGCGCTATCGTTTCTTGTCTATAAGGCTGTATCTTGTAGTCAATGTATCTGTATCTATGTGGCTGATGGCCACACATACATGCAAAGCGTTTGTCGTAATGCAATTGTCCAAAATGCTCAGCCAACTACTCAAAAAGTCATCGTTCAGATTTAACAAGAGGGGGTTTCAGGGGGTGATACAAGTTGATAAAAAAGAGACAGCAAGAGCCAGTCAGCAATGGCGATGTTCATGTACTAGTATGTGTTTGCTGTACATGTACTATATCTATGTATATACTTTTACACTGGCTGTATTGGTAAAAGTGCGAGGGGCTGCCAGTGGGTGGTTGGGGGCCGTAAGAGGGTGGCGGTACGTTTGAAGCCGGCGGCTACACTTTTTGAAAACTCATTTACTTGTGGCATGTAAACAACTAATCTGTTAACACTCCGGACAAAAGCGCGAACGATACATTAGCGTGTTCTCTGCCCCCGCAGGTTGCCACACCCACCTCCACCTCTTCCTCCCTCTCCCCCCTGATATTTCCGGCTCCTGTCAAGCCCGTAGAATGATGAAGCACCAAAAACCGACAGCCACACCACTGCTAAGAACCAACACCACTGACAGCGCCACAATGAAAACTTTTGCTCGGGAATATTTCCCTTATTCCACGGGCATAATCAAAAAGTTCCCTTTTTTGCCAAAATGAAAACGTGATTTTCTCTTCGGCCATACATACATATAAAAATATATAAATGTCAAGGGAGAGGGTTGGAGGTTCGTCCTGGCACAAGGATATGGCTTACCGAAGGCAAGAGTAGGGGCCTGAGTAGGGACCAGCAAGGGGAAGAGTGGCCAGAGTGTGGGGATAAGGAGACGGCGGTAGAGGTTGCCAGACCACATGGTGTCAAACATTTTGCTACACTTACACAATATGCTTTAGTTACTGTGGAGCGAAGTCAATGGAAAGGGGTACCTTGACTTAAAGTTCTTGCAGAAATAAAAAACGGTTCTTTATTTTTCCTTTTCTCTTTACTTTATTACTGCAATTTATTACCTTTCTACCCTATGTTTTACTACAAGCTTAAGATAAAACTAAGTACAACAATGTAATCTACAAAATAAGATAAAACTGATCAATATATAAACCTAATAAGGGTTTCATCCCGAAATTCCGAAATACTATCTATTGTTTTGTTAAAGTGGAAACCTGTATTTGATCTACTTGTAAGTAAGTATTGTACATAAGCCAACCATGACTTAACGAAATTGCCTCTGCAAACAAATCTCAACTAATTTCCAGCCAACAAATGAACATAATCTCGACCCACTGTGCGGCTGTTCGGGTTCCTGGACTGGCTCTGCTGGGTTGTTTTATTTGATTTCTTTATCAATATCTGAGCTGCCTTTCCTGCTCCTCACCCTCACGCCCTGCACAGAGCCACCCAGCCCTACCCCTCCCTCCGTATTCGTAACCCCTATTGAACGAGCCGTTGTTATCCTGAAACTGCAACTGTATTAGTTGCGAGTGTGCCAGTGTGCGTGTGGCTCTTATATACGATTCATTTAAACGAGACCCATGAAGGCAATGCCACCACCACCGCAGCAGCGCGAAAGAGATGGCAATGGAAGCAGGGTCGCTTGTGAAGCCATATGCCAGAGAGAGACCTCTGTAGAGCGAGCATAGAGCAGTACGAACCACGCCCACCCCGTTGAGACCATAGTATGGTGGTGCTTCGGTAGTATCCGTATCCCCGCATCTGTTCGCGTATCTGTGTGTGCGGCAAACTGGTTGTGGCCTGGTATTGGTGCCAACTCGTTTCTGTTTCCATATCTTTGGCCGTATCTGTGTCCGCCCGTGTATCCGTATCTGGTCATAGTCGTGCCTGTGCCTGTGTATCTGTATCTGCAGCTGTATCTGTATCTGGATATGTATCTGTATCTGTGTCTGCAGCTGGCAGGCGGTAGCAGTTGGAACAGTCGAAGCAGCCGGAGAGCTGAGCTGCCAGCCAGAGTATCTGTATCTGTGGCGCGTCATTGTTGTGCTGCTACTGCCGCTGCTTCTGTTGCCGCTGCCGCTGCTGCTGCTACCTCTGCCGATATTGCTCTATAGCCATAGCTTCTATAGCTTCTGTGCCGTTCCCGTCGCCTAGTGGGCAGCTCAGTTACAAGACCATTATTTGACGTATTTTTTGCGCGCTCGGTTGGTCGTTTGGTTGGTCGCTCTCTCGGTCTCCGGATCGTATCGCATCGCATCGCATCGCACCGCACGGCATCACATCGGTTATATCCATAGCCCAAAAGCCCCCCTTTTTTCGCTTCGATGTGGAGCAGCAGTTGCGCTCCGTTCGTGGACCGGGCACGGGTATCGCATTCATGAGCTGGCTCATTGGCAATCATTTGGATTCGTACGCCATTCGAACCGGTGGCCACCTCACACATCCAGATGGTCCATATGCCAGGTCGATCGATCGCGCGTGTTAAGTGCTAAACTCAAACATAGTAAAACCATAACCATATCGGATTGATTCGAAGAATCCTCCGAAGAAAACCCAAAGTGATAGTGAAGAAAACTAAATCAGAGCCAAGCCAAGAGGAATTGAAATTAGTGACTAAACCAGTGTTGTGCCCAAGCAAGATTGCTTCGTTCCGGTGGAGAATAGTATGCCAATTTGTTCACAGTGGATTCAACGAATAAAATGGCCGTTGGACCGACGGAGGGCAAACAGCCGCCCTCAGAGAGCTTCTCGCCCACGCACCACCAGATTATAGCACCCAGCCCCATCCTGGCCGTTCCAACGCTGGCCTTCTCCGCCGCCCAGGTGGAGATCGTATGTAAGACGCTCGAGGATTCCGGCGACATCGAGCGGTTGGCTCGCTTCCTGTGGAGCCTGCCGGTGGCCCTGCCCAACATGCACGAGATCCTCAACTGTGAGGCGGTGCTCCGTGCTCGCGCAGTGGTCGCCTATCATGTGGGCAACTTCAGGTAGGATTCCGCATTCCGATTTCAGCTGGGACAGACACACAGACCGACATGAAAAAGCCCCGTCTCGAATGACAAACAGACTCCCAGTAAACCAGATACCCAGCCTCCTGATTAACCCCGACATCCGATAGTTTTCCATAGCGACAGCTTAATGAGGGCACAATGAGATGCTAAATTAATAAACAAAGGAATTAATTTACTAATTAAAGAACTCGCTGCTACCCAAAGCCAAGTGGAGCAGGCTTGATTAATAAAACACCGACCGAACAATAGGTTCCACGTCAGGATCGGGGTTTCGGCTTCCGTCGCCACTATAGAATATATACTCTCACATTACACTTGAGCTTCTAAGACGAACCTCAACCGGAAACATTTCATTCGACTGGGAATTTCGCAAAATATGGCGAATGGCGAAAGATTAGCTTTTTTGGGGCCTCTTATGGCTTAGACTTAGCCTTGTGATCTTCGGCTAGACAAGACAGTCATTTAGCTAGTTTTAAAGAGGGCAAGAACAGGTCCCCTGGCAATCGATATAGACAATTATCGGATCCGATCGGCTCTAGCAATCACAGCTATAAACGGTTGCATCAGGTTTTTGCATCTCATCTATGTCACATCAAATGAAGCTGACTGCAGCTCGAATGGCTATGTAATTCGAGTATAATCCATCAATGTCCAGATTCGTACATATATATAGCCAGTACAGGCATATACGGATCTGGCTATGCAAGTGATTTGATTGCTTTGACTTGGTAAATAAACGACTTCCAATTAAAATCATTTGACGTACTCAACTGAGCTGTCAACGCCAGTGACGACAATAAATGCTTATGAAATTGTTTCAAAATACATATGGCTGGCTTAGCACGCCCGTCGAGCGAGGGGTGTAAAACTTCGGACGGGCGGATGGCTTTCGCAGCGGGACACTTCCCAAATCCTAGAGGGTTGATGGGGTTGAAATCAGCACGGCAAATTCAATCTATTAACTTTAAGCACGACTCTTTTGGATATTCATAGTGCACATCGAACTGGTTCTCTTCTTTCAGGGAACTTTATGCAATAATAGAGAATCATAAGTTTACTAAGGCGTCCTACGGCAAACTGCAGGCCATGTGGCTGGAGGCCCACTACATTGAGGCCGAGAAGCTGCGCGGTCGATCATTGGGTAAGTAAATCATTAACTTGCATATCATTATAGATAGGTATTACTACTGAAGAGGTTATAAAAAGTTAAATCTTTGATTCTAAACATCGGTAAAGAGTTATTTTAAAACAAAAGTTTAACTTCAGATATTATATGAAGAAATCTTTCAAAATCTTTAACAGCCGTCGCTTGTCAACATGTCGGACACGGAATATTTGAAGATGTGTTAACTTGTTTTTGAGTTTCGGCTAATTCGCTTTTCTACGTTTCTTGAAACCAGTTTTTTGTTATAGAGAGAATGGCTTATGACATATTTAATCTTATATTTTATTTAAATTATTCTTAAAATAAACAAAATTTGAAAGATAAACGCAACCAAATTCTATCGCTTTATCAACAAATTAAAAGGGGAACTTTATTAAATATATAGCTAAGGCTTCTTAGGTACAAAAGTGTCTAAATAAATACTTACAATTTTATCATACTTTTACAGGTCCCGTGGACAAGTATCGGGTGCGAAAGAAGTTCCCACTGCCGCCGACAATCTGGGATGGCGAGCAGAAGACGCACTGCTTCAAGGAGCGCACGCGGAGCCTACTGCGCGAATGGTACCTACAGGATCCCTATCCGAATCCCACCAAGAAGCGGGAGCTGGCCAAGGCCACCGGGCTGAATCCCACGCAAGTGGGCAACTGGTTCAAGAACCGCCGCCAGCGGGATCGGGCTGCTGCGGCCAAGAATCGGTAAGTTATCGACCGCCTCAATAATTAACCATTAGAGTTAGACGGGTCTAGAAGAGTTGGTAACTCGATCGCGGCCGGGTAAGCCGATATCATCCTCCAACCCAGGGAGTGGGTGCTGTGGGCGAAGTGGGGGGATCGCACAGGAGCGTTTCCATTTCATTGATCCGTGCCGATCTGCGGCAGCGGTGGCGGCATCCAGTGAAGCGTTCTCGATTTCTGCTGTTTGTTGCGGTCGTCGCTTTTTGGCCACATTAAACTGACCGCCGACGATGACGATCACGATGACGATGGGTCTTGGCCTGGCCATAATGATGAAGGAGACAACGATCAAAGGAGATCATGATGATGATGATGATGTTGATGATGACAGTGTAAACGCAGCTCATGCTTCAGCTGGAAAGGTGCAACCGCTTGCAAAATATGGCCAGGCGAAGTTAAAACTCGACCAATTCGCGCGAAGTTGAAATGAAGAAGATCCGCTCGAAGTGAAAGAAGGCAAGTTAAGTGGAATGACACTGCAAGAAATCCCCAGTCAGAGTCCCAGATCTGGAGTCGAAATCGTAGTCCACTCAAGTGTTTTGGCTGCTCCTGCAGATGCGCAAATATTTCAAGTTCTACCTGCTCACAAAAAATCAAAAAACGAGAGAGAGAAGGAAAAGGAAAAGTAAAAGAAATCGAGACAACATTTGGCATTCCTCGGAAACCTGGCCAGCCAGTCGAGGAGATCTCTCATCCCGAAAAAGAGCCGTGTTTATTAAGTTAGGAGCAGCATCGGCAGCAGCGGTCTCGTCTCAAATTGAATGAATCTGCACAAAGCGCCAACCATAGCTCCCCCCGAAAAAACTATACGTATATATAAATAAAAATAAAAAATAAGGAAAATACAAATAAAAACCAGATGCGAGCGGGTCATTAGTTAAAATGATGGCGATTATTTCGCTTGTAAAGCAGCAGCAGCCACGGATACGCGGCCATTACAACTCCATCCGCACTCGATCCGCGGATCCCAAGTTGGATTCGAGTTTTTCGAGGTTTCGTGTAGTCATCGTGTTATTAAGCAGCGTCGGCAAAAGCCCCTAAGAGATGAGACAAAAAGGCGCACTGGAGCTACAAAATATGCTCGTATACTCGCATATATATAAAAAATATGAAATTAAAAGCCGTTCATATGCGACGGCCAGACGACTTCGACAGCGCCAGGCGGCAGACAGGGGCGTTGGAATTGCCAAAGAGGGGGGATCTGGGGGTGCTGATGCGGACCAAGACCATTCTAACCGGCGACCAAAACCAGACCCAAACAGGCGCTGACTGTTCAAGCATTGTGCGCTGAAAAATTGTTAACATTTTTGCTACTGCACTTGTGCGAACGGAGAGCGACAGGCGGCCAAGTCAGAGGCGAGGAAAGAGGGCTAAGTTCGCGGACCGAATCTTATAACACCCTTGCATTCCGACTTTTGTTGAAGGAATCCATAATAAGATATCTTTTACGAAGTGTGATTTAGTTATAGTCCCGGAATATAACATTTATTTGTGTTAGCAAAACATCTGTAAACTTACCACCCTCTGAAAACTTTTAGTTAGCTGGATTTTAGTTAAGGATTCTAAGCAACTTTAAAGCTATCCCAACTCCTGATCAATTTAGTAACACCCCCAGTAAGGGCATACGAATGAAGGCAGCTGGAGCTGGGAAACAAGATCGTGAAGGCAGAAGGAGCCACGATGTCAAACGCAATGTTGTTGGGGCACCAGACGAGATGGTAAATCAATCAAATGCACAGCTCCAATCCACTCTATTAGAAAGGCTCCGCGGAGAAAGGCAGCCGTGCGTTTCCCGCTCCCGAATTGAGTAATTAAGACATCGGAGATTGATCGACTCAACTTGACTTCAGTCGTTACGGCGGAAACATGGAACTTGGCGCTGGCAAGCTTGTCATGCTCTGATGCCTCTCCTATACCAACCACCAAGTGGCCATTGCAAGTGGAGTGCAGTTGCAGTTGCAGTTGCAGTTGCAAGATATTCAAAATCAAGATTGCCGCACATTATACAGGAATTCTGTAGAGGCATCTGAATGGGTTAGCCGTATCTTACAGATGCCCCAGTCATCACCATTTGTCTGATTCAGCGGAACCTCTTGAGGCGTGCAAAGCCCATTGAGGAGCGGATGGGAACGTAATTAATCTAACATAACTGCAGCTTGGATATTGATTCGGTTATTACGCTTTAAGGCTACTGACTGCGTTTAGTAAAGTATTTTAAATACATTCTAAATCGTTAATTGGAGGAGATATGGTTTCTATATATATGTATATACAACATTATTCAGATTGTGCTAATGATACTATAACTATAAGTTTAGTATTTGAATTCATTAATAAATTTTTGTAGCTGCTGGTCTGAGTCACAAGCACATTTCACAAATCATTGGAGAAGCTTCTATTGTGCAAATTCATTAAGCCGAAACCCCGTCTCGAGACTTGATTTTGATCAATTACAATTGCCACTCAACGATGCACGACAGCGATACGAAACTCTTGGCCAAACGGAGCCCCCGAATCAAATGGATCCATTGAATCCACTGAATCCGCCTCGCGCCGATGGTTTTATTGCGTGAATTACCCGGCAAGCGAAATGCGTGGCTCGTGGACAGCCACTGGAGATGGAGATGAGATGAGATTCGCCCACATCCCATCCCATCCATCCATCCATCTCGAGCAGAAGCGATGGCCAAATTAGGAGCACCGTGGGCGTCAGGCATCGGGTGATTTGTCAGGGCGTCCAGAACACGAAATGGACCACCAGAAATCGAATCAACCAACATTTGTGTATGCGGAGTGATGTGAAGTGTGTGTAATAAAGTTGAGCACCCAGCAAATATGTTGTAAATGTCAATTATCAATCAAATCAACAAACACGCACTTGCGGACAGGAATATATATATATATTTATAGAGAGAAATACAAGCCCATGACCAGGGACTAAATTTGAAGAGGTTTTGCCCATCGATTCCCAGCCTCTTTCGAATTCTAATGAAGAAAGGAAGATGCAGAAGCAGATATTCCCATCCCCATCCCCAACCCCAGTCTGAATCCATTCAGCCCCCAACCATTGTCAATATCCGAGTCGGAGGGCCCACTTGTCCGAGCGCTCGGACAGGGCACTCGAGCCCCATAAGTACCCATACCATCCATGCCCAAGCCCATGCGATCCGAGGGAGCTGAGCTTGGACCACTCGACAATGTTTGCACAACACCAACTACCGTTTTCGGTGGCTTGTGAGAAAAATATACAACCAGCTCTCCAATGGGAGCAGAAACTGGAGTTACCCAGAAGTTACACTAAGAAAAATATGTGAAGATGATATACTTATTGATGGAAGAACTTCTAAGTCTTAGACTGAAGTCTCTAAAGTTAAAAGAAACTGAAGTACCAGCCATTTCTGAGATTATAAGACATCTCAATCCAGATTATCTTAGAATATATCTTCCAATTTGAAGACTAGCAGTTCATACCAGTATTTTCTTGCTGTGCAACTGTTTCTGAACTCCAAGAATGAACTGAATGGATGTGAAGCTTCAATGTCGGACACTTCAATGCCGCATAGAAAGTGTATTAAAGAAATTAATAAGAAGTCAGGTTTCGAGTCATCATCATCGGCAGTCGGGTGACTCTTCATCGATGGCTGCTGGCTGGCTGGTTGGATAGATGGATTGCCGGGCTGGTTGGATTGCCGGGCAGGCAGAGAGCAACACCGGATGTGGCCTTTGTTCAATTGACAAGTGAAAGAGGCTCGACAAATAAGCGGACGGAGCACACCGCCCCAAGGGTTGGAAATATTCAAATGCGAGCAAATTTAAATCCCGTTTGTCAACAGATCTCTCAGGCCGAAAGGAGAAGGCAGTAAATGTATAAAATAAATGTTGATTGCATTTAGGAACCCTTGGGACTGCTCTTTTCGAGGCTGCTAACTGCTCACGCCTGTCCAAATATTTACACAATTTAAGGCATTCAATTCGAATTGACACAATTATTGAAAATGTTTCGAAAGAGCATTGCAATTTTCCGCCTGATTTTGTACCGCTATTATTGACTTTGTATTACCTGCAGGTTCATTGATTCCTCCGTCTAGCCTCGTCTTTTTGTGTTTTTTTTGGTCTTTAAGCCATATTTAAAGCGGGCATCTTTTGTTGGTCTAGCAGATCGTGTTACTCCCTTGGCATTCTTTTGCAGCCTGAATGGGTTTCAGTTCGCTTTCAGCCTCAGTTTCGATTCAGTTCGATTCGATTTGAATCGGAATCCCCATCTTCTGACATGAGCCGATTAAGGAACATTTCAATGCATCTCGGGTTACTCCGCACATCCAGCCCCTTCGGCTGGCCATGTCCGAGCGGGTAATTACATACGTGTCATTTCGGTTAGGTTAGGTGCCACAGGGTATCCGATTTCAGTAAACCCTTTGCCCTTGTCCTTGTCCTTATCGTTCTCCGTAAACCTCTCGCTGCCAAGTCAATTGTGTGGAAAATGTATATCATATTCGTGCATCCAAGTTTTTGGTTTCTGGACTCAAGCCGAGCGTGCCAAGTCCCAGCAAGTCGCTCCAGTCGTGCGTGAAAATGGCCTTGGGTCGCCCGTGCCAAAAATCTGCCATCGAATCTGAACCAGAAGCTATCACAAGGACAAGGAGGAGTGAGTTAGAGTTTCACCTTAACGAACACTGCACCCATACTCCTCCATTCTGTGATCATGTTGGCTGGATCTAATTACTATATGTCAAAGGAAAGAGCTGGTTAGCTGGGTAAAAGTTGTAGATCCTTCTTAAGAATGTTTCTAGAACTGGCAATGCCTTTGAGTTTCCAATTACCTATATCCATTAAGCCAACAAAAAAAGTGAATACCTTTCTAATCATAAGCCCCTTTTTCGGTGATATCTTAATAGCAAACCTATGAAAAGCCATCTTAAAGTTCTTCCCTTCTCAGACCTCAGATTCTCATGAGCTAGCTCTCAAGTTTCACCGTATCGACCCACCACACACAACTACTATATCTGTGCTTAAATTCCCATAGTTAGGTTCCAATTACCCAAATCCAATAACTGAGAACTTAAAGATGAAAAAAAAACAACTGAACCGAAAAAACCTTTCTAATCGGAAGGCCCTTTTTTCGGGAGTATCCCAGCAGCGGGCAGTCCCCGATCGCTGGGCTAACAATTCATCAGGCCGTGAGTGATCCATCAAGTTGGCACATTAGGCAACTAAACGATTTAATGCTCCCTCTCTCGCTGGCAAAAGACAAAGGGCCCAGAAAGGTAGCCGCAGATACATTTCGCAGCTCCAACTGAGTCGAGTTGGTGGTGTCTCTGCTCCCGCATCCAGAGAGTGCCCAGTGGAGCACCATTAATCACACAACACGAGCCGCTTCAGGATCTTCCAAAGGGAAAGGGAAGACAGCCAGAACGGGGAACAAATTGCAGCAAGTTGAGCGAATCCTAACCGATAATTATGACATTGCAGGAGTCATGGCGTGATGGCAAATGATGATGTATATGAGAATGCTCCTCCGCCCTTTTTTTCTGGCCACGCAGAGAGAGAGGGAGAGAGATCTCCTGCCCGCTGCTGGTGTTAAATCCATGGCGGCTAATCAAGTCATCTTCTGGTCCTATGGTCAGATGGCGCGTCTTTTGTTTTGGCCACAGACGATTTATCTTAAGCATGTGTGAAAGTTGTGTCAGATTTATGAGCCGACTCCCCCTTTTTTCCCCACCCCACAACTCCTTTTGACCCCCTGCCGCTCCTGGGGGCAGCCACAAATGGGCCGCCTTAATGGGCGTTTAACCGCAGCCACTGCAACTGTCCAGCATCGACTAATTAACGATGCCGACTCCGATGCCGTTGCCGATGCCCATGCCGATTTTGATGCCTTGATGTCTTCATCTGGCAAGGCGGAAAATTGCCATGAAGCCGTGAAGGGAATGTCAAAGGGAAAGGCCTGAAAAACCTCTCAAATTCTATCACCACTTCGATCAGTTACGGCTTTTAGATAAAGTTAAATATTTATAGATTACTAAAGAGCTAGTTCAAAGTAGACCTTAAAATTGATTGGATGTGCAGTTTTGTCTTACAAGCAGGATGATAACTAATGGGGTTTTTAATCAATATTTTGAATATTTCTTAAAGGTTTTTGTATCATAACTTAGTCAAAAAAAGACATACAGCTTAAAGAACAACAGTTTTGTGCAGCCAACGACCAAAACTTACCATTTGTATCTTTACTCGACTGATTTCGGGAAAATTTTTTTTTTCTATTTTTCGCATTTTTGGTAAGGGGTACCATCATCCTTTTTTCCGAAAAATGGCCAAAAAATTACATTTTTAGGTGTGAACACAGTTGTATAGGAAATTTAATTACAAACTCAACGAGATATGGCACTCCATATTCCAACCATTTTTGGCAAAGTAATAATCAAAATACTGGCTTGGTTGGCGATATTTCGGAGTAACGATTTTTAAGTAATTTTTGCAATATTTTGCTTTGGATTTTAGCTCATAAAATAGCTAAAACAAGACGTAGAGCTAAAAGCAATACTGTTTTGTGCAGCTTACGACCTAAACTTACAGTTTCTAACACTGTCCAGTTGATTTTGGATATTTAATTTGTTTGGCACTTTTCACATTTTCGATAAGGGGTACCATCATCCTTTTTTCCGAAAAATGGGCCAAAATCTACATTTTGAGGTGGGGATACCAGTCGACTAGAATTTTAAATACGAGTTCATCAAAGTATGACATTCTATGCTTAGGGCATTTTTGGCGTTGCTATGATCAAAATACTGACATTTTTGTGCCAGAACTAGGATAACGATTGTTGAACAAAATTTGGGTTATTTTTTGTAGCTTTTTAAGTCGTTAAAAGGTTCAATAAAACCGTACAGCTAAAGGGACCACTGTTTTGTGTAGCTAATGACCCATACTTAGCATTTTTTCCTTGTCCGACTGATTTGGGGAAATTCATTTTTTTCCATTTTTTGCATTTTCGATAAGGGGTACCATCATCCTTTTTTTCGAAAAATGGCCGAAAATTTACATTTTAAGGTGTGAATACAGTTTTGTTGGAAATTTCATTACGAGTTCAACGATATACGAGGTGTGTTCAAAAAGTAAGGTGACTTTTCAAATTTCAAATTTTTCAAATTTTTCGATTATCTTCAGTTTTGGGAACAAGAAAAAGTCACATGGGGCCAAATCCGGTGAATATGGTGGCTGAGGTATTATTGTGGTGTTGTTTTTGGCCAAAAAATCCAAATCCTTTGATCCATATTTTTCGATAGCAAAAAATCGCCGAGCTCGCAAAATAACTTGTAACTTTACGCCTCTCACAACCAAACAAAAGAGGATGTTCCATTGAAACTTGGTACAGATGTTAGGGAAGAGTGTACCAATATAACAAAACAAAAAAATCGATAATCGAAAAATTTGAAATTCGCGAAATTTGAAGAGTCACCTTACTTTTTGAACACACCTCGTATGACACGTTTTATTGTCAAAAAAAAAATTGGGTTTTTTAGCGACTTGACGTCATAAAATCATTGTCTACTATTTCAGTCATAAGGCGTGCCATCATACCGTTTTTTATAATTATAAATTTAAACCTGATTAACCAAAATTTCTTTACAACATTAATATTAATATATCCCTCATCTTATCTTTCTTTCAGCATCCAGCACAGCCAGAATAACTCGGGAATGGGCTGTCGCAGCCGGCGGGCTGATGGAGCTGCCTCGCCGACGCCCTCGGACAGTTCAGACTCGGACATTTCTCTGGGCACCCACTCACCGGTGCCCAGCAGTCTGCAGCTGCAGCACAGTCCGGGCAGCACCTCCAACGGAGCCAACGACCGCGAGGAGAGCCTGAGCGTGGACGACGACAAGCCGAGGGATCTGAGCGGATCGCTACCGCTGCCCCTTTCCCTGCCCCTGCCGTTGGCCTCGCCCACCCACACGCCGCCACAACTGCCGGCGGGCTATGGCGGCGGAGCGGGCGGAGGACCTGGCGGACCACTGACCGCACCCGGCTGCCTGCCTCCCTTCAAGCTGGACGCGGCCACCAGCCTTTTCAGCGCCGGCTGTTACCTGCAGAGCTTCAGCAACCTGAAGGAGATGTCCCAGCAGTTCCCAATCCAGCCGATTGTCCTGCGTCCGCATCCACAGCTGCCCCAGCCATTGGTATTGAATGGAGCATCCGGCGGGCCACCACTGCATCATCCGGCCTATGCGGCTGCCTACAGTGTGGAGTGTGTTCCGGGTCATGGACCACCACATCCACCTCCGAAGCTGAGGATCAACTCACCGGAGAAGCTCAACTCCACGGCAGTGGCGGCGGCGGCCTCGGCTGGTGGCGGAGGCGGAGGAGGAGGTGGAAACCATCACCATGAGCCAACAACCACTGGCTACCATCACAGTGGCCAGCTGCTACTCCATCGACCCTTCTCCACGTCGCCGGAACTCAAGCACAGTGCTCCCGAGATCACATGATATCAGCGGGTCTGAGGTGTTACTCTATAAGCCCACCCAGAACACCCGTGTCCCCAATCCTCACCAGAAACGAAGCACTAAGGCCCAGCTATTCAGATTGTTTCAATTGTATTTCTAAGTTAGACCGTAGTTAAGCGCATCCCAGCGGCAGAGTTCGAGCAATATTCGATCCGGAACTGTTTCCTATATCATGACCCATAATTACCTATACCTATACCGTTATCCAGCAGCAGCAAATCGCAAGCGTCGCACACTCACTCTTCAAAGATAGCCATTTAAGCCGGATGGAAAATGAGATACAGATTTAAAGGTATAATTCAGATGGCGGGTAGAAAGGAATCCCCAAACTGAACTTGAATTCGAAACGTTTTCATTCTAATTTTGTGTGTGTGTACGTATTTGTAAATAGAGTTTAAGTATGCAAATCATAGAGCTTACGTATACATTTAGATTGCAATAAAAACCGAATGAACAGTTAAGAATTTGAATCATTATACGAAATTGCGTTGTTTATTGGGTTTTGGGGAGGGGAAGTTTTGCACATGCTAAACTAGGTTTGAAAAGGTCGTCAAACAGGGGAAGGAAAAGAACTGCTTCAGTTCGAAGAATGTTTGAATGCTCGAAGCTTTACCTGTTTCTTTCTAAAAGATCTTAGAAGATTTTCAATATAATATAACTTTCCATCTTACATTCCGCAACAGATAAGAAAAATTCTAGACAAAAATACTACTATATCAAATCTATATGTTAAAACATTAATTTAAATACCTAATAATTAGAAAAAGGATAAAACAAGGATAAATTTCACCACAACCAAGAAATTTCCTTATAAACCTATCTTTGTTGACTATCATGAGCATTTTTCCTTGGACAAACACAGACGGCTAAGTAAATAAACCGTAAATGATGAAAAACTGCGAGAGGATAGGGAAATTTCCCTTTCTTCATGCTGATATTCCCAACTATTCATCTGCTGCTAATGCTGCTCCCACTATTGCCATTGTAGTCCCCAATGTCTGTTGATATTTTGAAATAAAATATCAATTTCTGTGTAAACATCAACAAGAGTCGGAGTCAGGCGAAAGTCAAGTCAAGTCCGAAGGGAAAGAACAACATCCACGATCGGTGGCAGTGGCTGCCTCTCACTCCATCCAGCTGAACTCAACTTGGGAACTGGTAAGTGAGGACGTAGGGCGGAGAAGATCCGAGAACCAGGCTGATGGCGTCGGCGGATGGCGCCAACGATGACATGTCCGGCCTTGCCATGTCCTACTTGAGTGGTTTACTTAGCTGCCTTATGAAAATATCCAATGCTGTGGGCAAACACACGAATGCATCCACAGTCATAGCCACATCCACATCCACATCCACTATAACCGAAACCACAACCTCTCACCAAAAAACCAGGGAGATGAAAAACTGACGCGTCACTGTCACTCACACAAATGCACCACATCATCGTCATTATGGGCTCAAAAGTCTCCGATCTTCCCTGGGAACAGACTGTCTTTATATATATATCGCATATAGAATCGTTCCAGTTACATTGAGAAAAAATGTTGAGATCTAGGAAAAACTATATTTTGTAGATATATTTCACACTCTCCTCTTAGTGGTGGGTTTACAAATAGGTTTTCAAAATAAAGGGTTAAGGCAGTGTTAAGCTATGTACACTGAATCCCTCAGATATTACAGTTTTGTCCCTCTTTTAACATTTTCCTTCCTAAAGATACTTATACTTAAGATTGATCAAATCTGAAAATAGGATGAAAGAAAAAGCTCGCTTCTTGATAAAGTTCTATCAATAAAATACCCCACATCTAGGATGATATTTCTCTCAGTATATATATCTGCGATCTAATCTGGTGCCAGCTAGCGCCACAGACTCACTTGCCCAGATTGATGGGCCAAACGTGGATGGATGACTAACTGACTAGTTGGATATAAGTGCTTCCTTTTTCCAACAAATTTTCGGCTCAAATTACAAGGTGAGACTGGGGGCCCCAAGGTATGTATGAGGCTGGAAGGAGGGGAAGGGCCCATAGTCATGAGCATGTGCAAGTTGTCAGGCCATCCGACAGTCAGCGAAAGAAACACTTGAAAGCGCAATTATCAGTAGCTGGGCACCGGGCGCATTAAGTATACGCCGCATTGTCAGTTAATTTTCACTGCAAGGCATTTTCGGCCATTTCATGTTTTATTTTTAGGTTTTTGAGGCTCATCGAGTCGAGTCGCGTCGCCTCATCACCGTCATCATTATGCATGATGTGACACTTTTGACCCTGTTTCCTGCAACCCTCCAATTTTCGGCGTCGTCTGGAGTTGGTATTTGGATTTGGATTTGGACTTGGCCTGGGCCTGGGCCTGGGCCTGGGCACTCACGGAATCAATAGGCGCTAGACGAACGCCATATGTCTCCAATTAGCTGGGCCGAGCAAGTAATTGATTTTACACTTGGCCAACCTGGGGGAATGCCACATTTCGATGGCCATTTACCAATTACAAGAGTCCAAAGGCATTGCCGAAATGGGTGACTGACTGATTGACTGACTGACTGATTGAATGTCGTCTGGCCATAGCTGCTGCTGTTGTTGTTTTATCAAATTAATGCGTTGTCGCCAAATTTCGACCATTCGAGGGTTGCTAGTCGTAATTATTAACGCCATCAAGCAGTCAAACAACCTCGGACTGTTGTGGTTGAATTTACATATTTTACAAGACGACTCAATTAGGTTAACCGCAAAATAAAAAGCCTCAGTGCAAAGGTTTACATATTTCCAATTGAATTTATGCACCCTCAGGCCGGAGTTTGTTCCTCCTCGTACATACTATACATATATCCCTCCTGTATTTTTTGTCAATTTGTCCGCCGTTTCCCTTCCTCATCTCGTTCCATGGGTCGTCTCGCCCGGCAATTGCCATCCAACAACTCCCCCGAACAAAAGGAACCCGCACAGTGGAATGCCAACTCATTGTGGTTAGACAAAATATTTGGACATGCGACACGAGGTATGCTAGAATTTCAATAGAATTTTACTTTGACAAGGTTATTAGTTTGGTTCTTTGTGGTTTCATTAGTTATGAAAATGTCTGTAGAACTATGTTTGGAAAATATATAAGAAGCAAAAGTAAGTTAACTTGTTTGGGCAGAGAATGAAAGACAACTTTATTTTCAAGATATATGACACATATTACTATAGATTTTTCACTACAAAGCCTTTTTTCTTACTTATTTTTCTTATCAGATTAAGTTTTTGTAAGTAAATTATCTTAAAGAAGTTTAATATTATTACTGAAAGTATCATCCTAGCCCACTGTAGCTAAAGCTTATTGACAAAGGGACAACAAACACACACAGACAGCTAGCGTTTACCACAATATAAAACATTTAACGTGCACATCTTTAAATCTTTTGACTGACATTTGCTCACTTTTTCAACCGGGGGGTGGTAGTACAGGGGCTGGGAATTCTAAAGAGAGGGAATGGGCATAAGGAAGCCGGGGACAAACGAACCCCATCATTAAGTGCGTAAATGTACTGTAAATAGACAAACGCGCTTTGAATAAAATTTAGCCAAAAGAGTTGCATTGTTGCCAGCCTTTCGGTGTGGGTGGAGATGGTATAGAATGGGTGGTGCTGTAGTGGCACAGTGGTTGGATGGAGTGGTTGGCCGGCGGGTTAGCAATGCAAATTCCCTGAATAAACAGCAGCGCCGAAAAGCGAGAAAAGCCCATCTGCGCCCATCTGCTCAGACAATTGTGAACAGTCAACAAGGCGAATCAATAAATTTAACTTTATTATGATAATTTGTCAGACGAAAAGTACACTAAAAAATATGTTTAGTTAAAGTAAAAATCACCTTTCATAACTAAAATAATAATTCTCTTAAAAGTTAGTTAATTTGTAACATTTTAGATGAATTTAAACCCATTTTATCATGATTTCTAGCTTATTTTATTGCAGTGTATTTGGTGGGTGTTGAAGAGTGCTGGCCTGGTGGTTGGGCCTGAACTTTGTCAAAATATTTGCAGCATTAAATGAGCAAGACAAACACTTCACACATGCTCAGAGCTTAACCCTTTTCCATTGTGATGGAAAATCCACTTGCAACTGTTATATGCCTGCCATTGCCCCCCTCTCTGCCTAAGGGGCGTGGCTGTGGGGCACCTGAAGAGTCTTCACGCAGCTTCATTAATGAAATCCAGTGCCTTCGGTTACAGAATAACTTGACACTCGCACTAATTGTCGCCCATAGAGGAGTCCCAATGAAAGGTGAGTCGCTGTCTCAGTCGCTTTCCCTTTTGTCCTCTAATGAGATTTGCCCTGCATAAAGCCATCGATATATATATCTACATACATTCCTCTATATATACCGACCTTTGGATGAGGGAGTCAGATTCGTGAACACGTATTCGTATTTGGAATCGGATTCAGGGACTCCTGCGAAAGGTGCACATTGGACAAAAGGAGGCGTCGATGCGTAATTCATAAGAGCATTGAAAAGGCATCAGCTACAGTAACGAAGTACCCGAAGTACCCGGGTCTCTATCGCGATGATGTCTTCATCCCGGCCCAAATGGGCGTGGCCATATTGTGGTTGTGTCTCGGTGCTAAAGAGACTCGCCTCCACTGCGGTCGGTCTGGAGTTCCATTCCCAGTCTCAGTCCCTGTCTCAGTCCCTTGGATTTGGATTCGAGGCTCGGATTAACAAAAGCACTCAGCCAACTGATTCTGATTCTGAAAACATTTCCGCTGGCATTGTTATTGTTTCCCTAGCCCACAGACCGCATGGATTTGGAGATTTTGAAACGGATTAGAGAAGCGGAGAAAGCATTAAATGCTCTGCCCATAATATTCATGAGCATGAGCCCAGGGACGGCTGCAGATTTTCCATGCGATTACTGGAACTCCATGTAAACGGTTTTCACTCCGATAGCATCGCTGAAATGATGACAGTAAAATGTGCTCAATTTTAAGTTGGAAGCTGTTTCCCTGAAGTGATGAGTTGGTTACGAAGATTGGGTTAGAAATAGGATCAGGTTTTGAGAGAGGCTTACCATGTTACTATGATTTATAGGGAAAGTAGTAAGGAGATCTCTTCTTTGTTTAGAACCCTTAAAGAAACTTAATAGTAATAAAAATCTAATTGAAAAATTGCCTGAAAACCCCATTGGCTACTGCCATTGTATAACTTAATTTGAAGTGCATTAACTTAATCGGCCAATGGCTGCCTTCATTTGAGCTAATTAATCTGAATTGCTATTCCAATTTTCCACTTGCATTCAGAGATTCACCCTGGGACCATCATCATCATCATCTCATCACAGGCAGAAAGGCAGCTGGAAAATTGAGGCGGCTGACTGGCCCAAGTGAGCTTTTCCATAGACATCATCTCAGTTCGACTAACATTATGCGGAGATTGAAAAATCGTATTGAATTACTGAAACAAAAGTGAAATGGGCAAGGAAAATTGAAGTTAAATCAAAATCCATAATGTCGGCAAATGTGCTGTTTTCCATTGTCTTCCCCAGCGATTCCCGATTGAATTATGAATTAATAAAGATGTTTGCCCGCAGGCGAGATTTCGGTTACGCCGGCCAAAAAGACACAAAGACCGAAAGGGCAAGTCGGAGCAAGTCAACCCCTATGGCAAGCTGGGTTTTTGGCTTTTCGGATTTTGGCAAACACGCAACAACCAACAACCCAGCTTACAAATCCGTTACAACAACAAATGTGTAAGTAAGTAACTTGAGGATGCACTTTTTGCCGCTGCCCCTTTTATTGAAAGATAATTGGGTTCGGGAGAGATGAGCAGGGCAGGATGTGAGCGACCAGACAAGCGTAAAGTTCACCCAAACTGGCAATTCAATTGAGATTCAAATTCACTTACCCCAACTCATCGGAGTCAGGTTCTAATATTTCAGCTGGCTGGCCGACCTAACACATCACAACCACTGCCACCACCACCACCATAATCATAGCTCGTAACGCCCTCATCCAAAAACCGAATCCCTTGTCCTAGACCCATTTGCAATACGATGTTTCTAACGCTTTTGACGTGTAAATGTTATCTCTTTTACAAATTAAGCCCAGCTTCCCATTCCTCTCTGGATTTCCAGCCCAGCTCCGGCCTTGTGGCGGATTTTCATCTATATATATGCCCATCATATGTACACCCTCGCCCCCTCCATGAAAAACCAAAAAATGTCCAACAATTAAATGTAATTTGAACTCACTGACATGAGCTTGTGTGATTCTCGACTCTCGATGCTCGATGGTGTGCGGCAGGGGCTGGAAAAATGCTATTTTCGGGGGAGATCAGCAAGTGGTATAGATAGTATCTGATAATCACTTCTCTGACAATTATTTTCCTACAGATTGAAGCTTTAAATTGGTGTATAAACAAGATAATTGCTAGCAAATATCAATCCAATTGTAAACAATATTTGATTATTTCTGGTTTTGCTTTCGCATTATATTGAAATTAATTATGAAACTTGGTTTTTATTGATTTAACTGCAGAATATATAAAACTTAATTTAAGCAAAAAGAAAATAATTTTAGTAAAATATATTTTATAACAATAACTTCTCTATCTACCTATTATTCTACCTATCACCTCTATTATAAAGACTATTGCTCCATGGACTTTTAAAGTATCGAATGTCACCCAAAGTCTCATTGAGATTTTTAATAATTTGTTAAGCAAATCTCCCTCGAATTGACCCTCCTTTCGGCCATGTCAGCTTTAAATCGGTTTAGGCTCGGGCCGCACACACTCGCCCACACAGATACTGGGGATATATTCGGACAGCCGGGAGCGATGCAGATGCCAATGGAGAACATGATCCCAGCCAGAGTTGACCACAAAGGGGTTAGGGAATTGTGTGAGTAAATTGGTAAGCTCTACACTGAAAGAAGTACATACCAAGGGGTGTTAGCTGAAATGCATTTAAGTTATTCCATTTAAGTTAAGCACTACGTTTATTGATTAAAAAGGTAAAATATAAAAATAAATATAAATTCTAATTTTACTTTAGTAATTCTTGTTAACTTTAAAGATGTCCTTTCATTTTTCGGATATTAATACTTTTGATGTCATATTTCTTGCCCTTTCGTGGCGGCCTCCTTCTGATGACGTCATTGGTTTGGCTTGAAAACCTTGGTCTTTGTCTCGCCGACCTCAAGCCCCATTTGAAAATCCATCTGCATACTGCATGACTGTATTTGTGGGCTTATATGACACGTATGCCAAATCGGCTTAAGGGCAAGTTATCGGCATTTGAAAATAAAAACACGCGCATTATCAACACCAACCAGAACAGAAGGTTGATATGTGGAAGTGCACTGAGAGAAATAGTTTCCAACTTACGCTTATTAATTATTCATTCAATTGTTAGTAGCAATGTCCCACAAACATTTATGTTTGATACTGAAACTTGTCTTGTATTCTACTTAATCCATACCTCTAGACCAAAATTGCTTGCAACTCAAATGAAAGGAAAACTTTAAAATTAAATTTAGCATTCTTGCCGTGTAGGCCGTCGGCTGCAGCATTCTGGCTGAAAATGAGGATGAGGATGTCAAAGCCATCGTCTGTCTGGCTGTCAATGCGTTTTCCATTTGTCGCCTCTAATGACACACATATTTAGGTGTTAATCGCCTCATTGGAACGCTGGCAGCGGATTTGCTCGCATTGTTGTCCGTCGGTCGGGATCGGAGTCGGGGATCGGAGAGGTAGATCAGGGATCGGGGTTTGTAGCAACGGAGGAACCGAGAGTCGGTCGCAGGGTAAATATTGATGCTGCGATTATAACTATTGATGCGTTCACAATGGACTTTTCCAGGCATTATCCTTAACCGATCAGCCAGCCATCCAGCCAGATCTCTCCTCCATTGCCACTCCGCTCGTCGGGCGATTAGTCCTGACCGGGGTTTCAGTCAATCGTGTTTTGGCTTTAAGGCGCATTATCCCCTAAATCGCAAACAAAACTGCAAACAAATTGCCGCAAATCGGAACCTTCTGAAACGAGAAAAAACATTCCGTTTTCGGGGCAAGCGGAGCATATGCTTGGAATCCGGATCGGCATCCGAATCGGTAGGGTATTAGGAAAATTGCCAAATGGCTTCAGCGGCAGAGGAAGTGAGCTGCCAATGATACGATATATCTGACTCTGTCCCTCCGTCTCTGTCTTTTTTCACTGATCTGCGAACCTGGGGTTGTTTAATCTGATCGTTTTCGGGGTGTTTCATAAATTAGTTCGCAATTTAATAGGTCTTCTTCCATAAAAAAAATAGCTAAAAGAACAAACAAAAAATGGAACATGACAGATGCGTGTTAAAGTTACCCTTTTTTGAATATAAAAAAATGTGTTAGTCTTAAAATTTTATTTCTAGGAGAGATTAGGGAGTATTTTGAAATAAAAAACAATTTATGATTATTGAAAATACATATTTTGATAATACATTTTCCTGACATGAATGAAAAACTGATTTAACAAACGTTCATAAGTGACTGACGCTTTAAATCAGAATTTTTCACTCTAAAATCTCAACAAAATATTGAAAATGATGTAAGAACATTGAATATCAGTTTTTTACTACCTTATTGTGTCTATTTCTTAAAATGAATTATTTAAATGCAGATTAAAATAAGCATTTCTCGTATAGCAGTCCAAATATCTTTCTACGTTGCTTTGAAAATTATAGCTAATTAACTTGGTTTTTAGAAAATTCCTCATAAAATCAAAGGGAAACCGAAATATATAGAATCCTTCATACCTTCAAACCCATCAAACAAGCAAGCAAATAAATGAATACTTTCACATACTGAAACATGACGACGGGAGCTTGACAATTATTTTTAGAACGTTAGCTCTTCTTTTAATTGGAGTATATGTTAAGCTGCTATATACACGCACCACTGCAGGCAGAGAACTCTGATGTGACCTCACATATTGTTCTTTCTCAAAAATGAAAAAAAAAAAACAGTTTCCCATTCATATTTGGTAATCAACCCCTGTCAGCCATACACATGTATCTGTTGTGTATGACCAACGAAAACTGCGCCGGCGTCATATATTTGGTTGAGGTTTTTGTACCTTTTCAACCACTGTGCCAGTGAGCTGTTGTGATTGGCCAATTACCAGTCAACCAATGCAGAGAAAGCTAGTTGATATATGGGACACTGGAACAGCTTTCTCGGATAGTTTTCATTTTCTATATTTTAAGCATAAATCTTCTTAAGTTCTGATCGCATGTGTTAGGTTGTAATATTGCTGAATATAATACCAAATTGTTCTTTTTTTTGTTAAACTCCGATCATTGATTAATAAAAAGTACTTTCTCGTAAATGCACGTTATATGAATACCATTTTTAAAATAATATTTAATTTATTTAAGCAATTGCATATTTTAATACCCAGCATTAGCCAGAAAAATTAATATTAATTTAGACATCCAATAAGAACAGCCACTAACAGCATCAAGCAGTGAAGTTAACAGTGGTTTCAACTGTAATTGTATATACTGTTACCTTAACATAGGTGAACTGCTTTGCACTGCTTATAGCCGTTAAAAGAAGACTCAAAAAATAATAACAACCATTCAATTTGTTTGTTTTAAACCATTTTTATTTCTAAAAAATTAACATGCCTTTTTTGTTTGTAGCTAGAATTATAATCACTAATTAAGTAAATGTTTTGTTTCTGTTCTTAATCCATTTGGTGTTTGAAATTGATTTATTTCTGTTCTGTTATCGATTTAATTCTATTAAAATTGAACATGAAAGATCGCTAAAAATTGCTCAATTGTTACATTCAACGTTATACGCCTTTTGATTTCAAAATGGATGATTGATTTGTGTAACAACTTGATAAGAGTTTATCAACAAAGTTAAAAACAAAAACAAAATGACGCCCTAAGTGTAAGTAAGTAGTAAATATTAACTGAACACAACAAACCATTTTTACACATGTGAATTGGCTAGAGAAGAGCAAAATAAATTGGGTGATTGATTACCATATATACTATATATATATATATTGCTATTATGTATAAGAAGAAGTTGGGGGAAGAACGTAATGTACATAATGTGCAAGTGCTGCGGGGGTGTGTCTTCTAATGTGCTAATGGATGAACAACAAATATAATTAACAAAAACCTTCGACTAAGTATTAATGCTAGCTAAAAGTACAGATCAAATAACAGAAGAAGATGGGAACTAAACAATGTGATTAACTTCGAATCCTCCTTTTTGTTTCTTTCCTTCTCTTTTACATACATACATAAGCATTATGGATAAGTGTGTGTTATTTTCGCTAGAATTTGTGAACATCATGGACGGATGTTAATTTGAAGTAAAATTTAGCGCACAGTGGCGCCTTGCTGGCTGCATACAACCCGTGACGTCAGCAAAGGGATTAGGATAGGAGGTTTGGGGATTAGGAGGGAATAGGAACAGGTTAGGGGATTCGTTCAAATTTTGATTTACACTAAAGTTAACTATACTAATCAACAGTTTCATGTCCAGTTGGTTGTTTTTGTACAGTGATCGCTCGTATCGTAGATGTAGATATCAGTATATCAGTATATGTATGTAATGCTATCATAGGCATCTAAGGCATAGTTTTTGTCTAAACGATAAAGTTCATGTTACTCATATTTCGATTTACCAATTATTTACAACAATTTCGTATCACAATTGTAATTTTTGCATATTTTTGTTTCTTTTCTTCTTGTCTTGCTTGTTTTAAAAAATGTTCCTACGCTCCAGTTGTATGCAAACTTACGAGCAGCACTGTGCGAATATTCGAAATGTTTATCCACAATCGAAGAAACCCTCGATCGTTGTTGTTGTTTTTGTTGTTTTAGCTGTTTCATTTGCTGTTGCTGTTATTGTGTTAGATTAGTTATTCAAACTAGGAGCTATGTAAAAGGTACGAGTATAATAATTGAATTCATAATTCGTTAACCCTCTGCTAAGCTAAAAGAATCGTTATCTGAATTTGAATCCGAATCTATATCTGTTTTTTGTATCAGTATTGTTATTGGTATTGGTATCTGTATCTGTATCTGTATCTGTGTGTGTATGTGTGTGTTGTCTGGATCTGTACCAGTGTGTGAGAGTGGTGTATATAACCCGGCTATGTACGTATATATCCTGTTGTTTATATGTAAATATATATGTAGATATAGCTTCTCGTTTATAACCGCGTAATTAAACTTGCTGCTGCTGCTGTTCGTATTAAACTCTGAAAACATAACAAATTTAAAGCCCTTCGCTGCAACTTTATAGGCATATATATCATATATATATATATATATATATCAGATGTATCTATGTGTGTGAAGTGTGGATGTTTAAAACCATAAACTGCCACCTTTGAGGCGAGCCTTAGCTATATAATGCACTAAAACCGACTTAAGCGGACCCGCGTTGACGCAGGTGTTAGCTGGCCAGTTGAACCGGCTGGAAATTATTGCCAAGTACTTAAGGACTAAACTACAAAACCTAATGCACAATAAGACTACATAACAGGGTTGGTTTCCGGGCAGGTTTATATATATATATATATTCCATCTTATTCCGTTCTTTCCGCTTTTTTGATTCTGCAATCTCGACTGTTCGACGTTCGACTTTTCGACCTTTCGACTCTTTAAGGGATTAGGTAACTACGTAGCTCTCATTTGATTTTCATACTCTCTGCATGCAGATCATAAAAATATGATGAGTTATCTCTAACTAACTATATATGTAACGTAGACGTAAGTGTAAACGTAGAACTAGATGGTAAGTGTATAATTTGCTCTGAGCTTAACTGTGTGCCTGGTTGTGGAAAATCTCTCAAAATTGAGCTAAGTAAATATTCTGAATCTGTTTCGATTACGATTCCGATTCCGATTCCGTTTCCGTTTCCTGGGACCATCCAGATCCCGAGCCGGCAAGCTCCCACCTGCATCCCCCTACTTGCCGGCCAACTGTGGCTGCTATTGGTGGCTCTTGCTGAGCAGATGCGAGTTGAACTCGTATACGTTGTTCAGCTGCTCGCCACATATGTTGCAACGCCACGGATTGCTCTCGCAGTGGCAGCCCTTGTGCAGGAAGTACAGCGTCTCGTCGGGGAACTCAATCCCGCAGAAGTGGCAGGTGAGGATCAGCTTGCGGTTGAGCAGCAGGTCTCCATCCTGGCCGGTCGACGTGATCGTCCCATTGCAGATGGGCGTCGAGCTGGCGCCATTGGAGGCATTGGGCGTCGCGGGTGCAGGTGGTCCTCCTCCTCCTCCGCCACCGCTAACACCATTTACACCGGGTGATCCTCGACCGGATCCGTTGCTCAGGCTGTTGGACAGCACTGAATTGTTATTGTTGCTCTCCAGCGGTGTGGCATTTCGGGTGATCCGGTTGTTGGCCTTCGCGCAGATCCTACGCTTGAGATCCTCGCGCAGGAGCGATTTTAGTGGCGAGACCTGGTTTAAGAATCAGATTGATTAATATATATAGTCAAAGATATATCCCTAACTCACCTTAATCAGTGAGGTGATTCTGTTGTTGTTGTTGTTGCTGCTGTTATTGTTATTATTGTTGGAAGCCTGTTCTGTATCGCTGTTAGGATCACTGCCGTTCATCAGGTCCTTCTTGTCCACATCCTCTAACATGGGCTCCTTTATGGAATACAAAAATTATGTTTTAAGGTTAATAAATATCAAACCAACAAACATATTAAATAATTCATGCCACTTAAAATAGCTAAGCTTATGGTCGGAAATCTGTTTTACAGGTCAAGATCAAACGCGCTGAATCAAAGACCAATACTCGTGTTTAAGCCCTGGATCTCGGAAAGCCATAAAAGCTAGTTCAGCCAAATTAGGTATGCAATCTTTTGTGATGCACAACAGGTTTTCAAAATATTGTTCCGCCTTCGCATGCAGATGATGTTTAGAGTCGGTCGTCTCCGACACAAACTTCCATTTAACTTAAGTAAGTCGCAGTTCCTAACTCTTGAAGAAATATCTGATAAAACTATCTCATGAAATATATCTTTAGATGGATATATAGCTTAGGGTATTTCTTACATTTTTAAATAACTATTACCTAAGATAATTATCCCATATAGTGATACATACAATCACACTTTGTAAATCCAATAACTAACTATGGCAATGCCATGCATTGCTCTTTATTTATCGGTAAAGCTCACCTGTTTGATGGGTATTAGACTGATCGAAGGCGTTATATGGTTCTCATGGTGATGATGATGGTGGTGGTGATGCGGATGCTGGTGGTGGCTCTTGAGACCGCCACTCAAACTGCTGCCTGTGGTACTGGATGTAATGGGCGTGGCCTTTGTGTTGCAATCCATGGGCAACTCTACCGGTGATTGCATGATGAGGGCTCGATCTTTCACCTTATCGCCATTGGACTCGGCATTTCCATTGCTAATGGAGTTACAGTTGTTGTTGCTCCCGCTATTGTTGTTATTGTTGTTGGTAGCGCAGTTATTGTTGTTGTTGTTGTTATTATTGCCCTGTAATGCAGATTCACGCCAAACGCAAATCAGCTAGTTTATTGTTTGTAAGCGAGGGGGCATAAAGAAAGGGATCGGTTGCCATACAGCGATTGACTTACATTAAATAACTCCGTATTGCCGCTCTCGCCCAGCGTCGAGATCTCCACGTGGGGTGTGAGAAAGTGCATCGGCGGCGTGGCATTCTCCAGTGATCGCATAGACTCCCCACTATCGCTAGCCGGAGGAGCCACCTGTTGCTGCTGGGGTTGAGATTGCACTGGCACCGGACTGAGTCCAGGTGGCACGTAACTAGCTGCCGCTGCTGCTGCCGCCGCCGAAGCCTGTGATTCCAAAGCCAGGAGCAAGGAGGAAGTACCACCGGGTCCGGGATTATCCAGATCGATGCCGTGCCGATTGAAGAAGTGAATCCTCAGCGATTTCATGGAACCCGCTCGGTAACTGCAAAGCGGACACGTCTTCACCAGGTCATGCTGGCCTACATGCTCGTTCTGGAAGTGGGCACGCATGGCTATCTGGCGCTGGAAGCCGCGATTGCAGATCGGACAGTGATAGGGCAGCGTTTTGGTGTGCGTGGTGAAGTGCTCCGCCAGGTGATCCTTGCGGAAAAATCTCTTCTGGCACACCCGGCACTCGTAGGGCTTGACACCAGTGTGTCGCATCTTGTGGCGCCGCATATTGGCGCCATTGGAGAATTTCATGTTGCACACATCGCACTCAAAGACCTTGCGGGAACTGCTGTTGCCACCACCTCCTCCTCCGCTATTACCCGCCGGCGAGGAGCTGGCCGAGGAGCTGGAATTGTTACCCGTCTGACCATCACCCTTGCCGCCCTCCATGTGACCCAGGCTCATGTTCTCCGGCTCCTGCAGATCCTCACTCTTGAGACGTGCCGAGGCCGCTGCTGCTGCTGCCGCTGCCGCCGCCTGTCCAGCCAGGCACTGGACCACATGAAGCAGCAGGGATGCTCGCGAGCTGGTCTCGAAACTATCGCAGCGTTCGCAACGGAAGGTCATCGGCGGCGAGTGGGGGCCAGTGCTGAGATTCGTGGGCGTGGGCGTCGGCGATCGCGGTTCCTGTAGTTCCGATTCGGAGGCGGATGAGGCGGCTTCCTTAAGGCTGCGCAGTGTCATAGCGTTGTGGTGTAGCAGGGCCGCCGTGGTAGGCGTCATATCCACAATGATGCCGCCACCCACCGTCGGACTGGGATCCTTTAGGGCCAACTCCATGCCGCTGGCCGCCGTACTGATCGTTTCGGCCATCTGGGAAGGCAAAAAAAAACAATTTTTTTTAGTTTTTTAACATATCCATATTTAATTTTACATTTCTCAAAAGAGATTGTTCAAAATATTCATAAATAACTAATCATTTGGTATTTCTTGATGTTTGGCACCCGTTTTTCGGCTCAGTGTGATTCAGATTAGTCCAGACCACGCCCGAAAATCGATGACAAGCTGTGTGGTTGCTATTTTTGTTGTTGTTTTATTTTATTTTGCAGTCAGTTTTTGGCATTTCAAGTGCTTCCAACCCAAAGACCCAAGCCCAAACTCAGACTTCGACTCTAATAAGCCAAATTGGTGTCAGCGTCGCAGCTTCGTGGGTTTTGGAGGGGCAGAGACAGGGGGTGGAGCTATGGGGTAAGGGGGAAAGGGGAACCTGCGGAGAATTCGCCAAGAACCAATCCACCAACAACAACCACACCGACACCGACCATTTTTGGGCGGCCTTGTTGTTGGTGTAGTTGTTTGCCGGCGTTGACGTTGACTTCGTGCTATGAAAATACCAAAGTTATTGGGGCCAATTACTGGTCTTGCAGGTGGGCAATCATTTGGACACCCAAACACACACACAAACACACATATATAGAATCGCTGCCCGAACCAGAGATGGGGACCACACCAATACCAGCAAACTCGAAGCAAATCATTCAAAAGTTTGCGGCAAACACAATGGCAACCAAATGGCATTTGGGACACAAATTCAGCGTTGTTTAGGCCAAACTTTAAAAGGAGATTCTTGATTTATTTAAATCTAGATCCCAAATAAAATTCTTGGTTTAAAATCATTAAAAAAAGTTCATTTCAAAACCATAAAAAGGTTAATAACTAACTTAAGCTCTATTAAAACTTAAAGGTACTTCCCAAAACCAGAAAAAAAAGTTCATAATTAAAGTTTCGAGTTCCGTCCCATTGTGCAAGTTTGGCTTAGTGACGCATGTCAACCGTCGTCTAACCCAGGTTTTGGCAATAGGTCAAATGTTGATACCCAAAGATAGTTATAGGTACCTTCACATATGCACAGGTGCAGATGTGTGGATATATAAGGTGTGAGTGTATATCGGGCAGCGTATAAATCATCATCCATAATCATTCGACAGAGCTGGCCAAGCTCTTCTCGCCACTAATTTAATTCAACCTTGAATGCTTGTGCATTAGCATTAGCCAGATCACAAAAGCCAAGAGCCATGGGGGACGACCTCAGCCCCGACCAGCTTCCCTATGCCCACACCACTATGCCCAGGCCAAAGAGCTATACTCATATATGCGATTGGCTGTGCATTTCTGGCCAGGTCAGCACTCTGAAAAATGAAATGTGTGTCGTAGGCCTATTTGAAGGCATCTACATAATTACAAATTCACTTTTTCGATGCTCCACGCGAGCGCAGGCGAACGGGTTTTAATTTTTTTTTTGGTCCGCGGTACGAAACTTCTTTTTCGGGCCAGGCCACTTAAATGTTGTAAACTTGTAAACATTAGCGGCGCAAGCTCAAAAAAAAACCTAAAAAAACTAAACACTAAAAACGCACAAAAAACTCGGTTTGCATTTTCAGTAATTATGAGGCGCTGTTGGCTTTGGCATTATAAATGCCATAGTTGCCAACCCAATGGAGTCATTGGGTCAAGTTTTAGAGTGCAACTGGGTCAGGCTTTATCATTATTATCATTATCGCTACCACCACCTAGCCATCGTCATCGCCATCATCATCATCATAATCTCTGGCCATACGATGGCTAACATACGACCCAACCGGGGGTTTCGGGTCTGGGAGTCTCGTAGTCTCTAGTCTCGAAACTCGGGTCTTTGGGGTGTCCCGCATTTTCACTTGCCCGCCGTGCTGTTCCCAATTCGAAGCCCCAAAAGCCGAAAGCAAAAGAAAATATAAAGCGTCGCTTGGGCTTTGAGCCGCTCTGGAAATGAGAGAAATGGTAGGAGAAATGCGAAATGGGAGCACACACACAAGTGAGCGACATAATTGGAGCGCCCTGAGAGCCCTTAATGATGTCGCACACTGTCCGCCGGTCGGCCATAAATGCCATAAAGGTGCTCCACGTGGGCGGCTAATTTTCGGGTGAGCTTGGCCAAAAGCATGAATGGCTCAGAAAATATATATAAAACTATGATTCAATTATGGGTTGATGAAGACAACTTTATCTGCAAGGTATTTAATATAAATCAAGGTTTTCAGATATTTTTATATCAAATTACTTAATAAAAGGTGTTAAGTAAAAACTTTCAAAAGTTATATACCTCTTTTGTAATGTTAATTTCTTATTTATTAAAAAGTAATAGGAAGGAAATATAACCACATGGCGGATAAGTAATATTTAACATTACGTATGAGTTATTTTTGTAGGAAACTTAATAAAGTAAAGTAACAGAAAAGATAACCATTAGCATAGAATCTAAAATTTTAAAAAATTTAAAACATTTAAATTAATATTAATTAAATATTTAATTCATTAAAATAACTAATTAAGGTGAGTTTAACATTCCCAAGAGCTGACTTTAAGCCACTGTGCGTTGGCTTGTAGGCCAAATGAATCTTTTGCATAGCCTTAGGCCGCGGCGCACGATTCCCATTCAAATTTAAATCAAAAAGCTAGTTTATTAGCATTGCATTGACCAGTGGGGAATTCGTGTTGCTGTTGTTGTGGCTGTCGCTGGAAGTTGTGAATCCAAAACCGAATGGGAGTCGGAATTGGATTTGGATTTGGAATTGGAATCGAAGTGGAAGTGGAGTCAAAAGCAAAGACGAACGCATCTTTCCGAAGGCGATTGACTTTCGAAGGCTGGATCTTCATGCAAAATAGACCATATAACAGATTTGACCTTAGCAGAGTTTTTTGTTTTTTTTTTCTTTTCTTTTACCGGTTTTCCAGCGTGGGAAGGGCAAGGGGGATCGCCTTTCGTCACGCAACAAAATGAGTCAGTCGGTCGATGGAGTTGTTTTTGTTTTTATTTTCTTTTCCTTTAGTTCCTTCCTTTGGCAAATCAATGAAGCATTTCCCCAAAAAAAAAAAAAAAGAAAAGAAAAGAAAATAACAACAACAGCAAGCGGGTAACATGTGCGTTGAAATGAGAACAAGAACAGAGCGAAAAAGAGAGAAGCGGGAGAGAGAAAACCACTTTCCATGGTGACACACTTTTATGCTACGTGCTGTTTTGCTACTTTTGCCGCTGCCTCTGCTGCTGCAGCAACAACAACAACGACAACAACAACAGCGAACAGCGACTCCCATAATAGAAAGTGGAACAGGAATTTCCCCCCTCAATTCCATATCAATGCCAGAGAGCACACGGCGATGATTTCATTTCGGTTTTGGCCTGGCCTGCACTCATTGCGAAACACTTGCCACGGCCAACAAGCAACGGGCACCAGCAACAACAACAACAATAGCAACAACAAAGCAAGAAAATCAAGAAAACGGGCGAGAAAAAAGTTGGAAAAAAAATAGTTCAGTGGGAGACGAGCCGAAAAGCAGCTGAGCGAACTTTAGAGCTCTCTGTGTACAACCGCTCTCTCTTACACTGAAAAAAGTTAAAATTACAAAAGTACATATACGATATTTAGTTGATTACAAGTTTAATGATTCATTTTCATTTTGCAGTTCTTTTTGTAAACGAAAGCCGAGTTTAAAAGATGAACTTTAAACTAAATTTTTGTTTTCTGGCACCTCATTAATATTTTGATAACAGACTGAATATATAGAAATATAGTTTTAAAATTATTTAAAAATCGTAGTAAAATCTGATTAATTTTTTACATGTGGCAACCAAAAAGCAGCTGAGCTAGTGTTGCAGCTCTCTGTAAACAACCGCTCTCTCTTCCTCTCCCACGCTTTTTCTCCCACTCTCTCTCTCTTAGTGCTTTTCGGCAAGTGCAGCGCATGTCCCGTTTTTGTTTATGCTTTTCTCACACCCGCTCTCCCTGTTGTTCTTGTTTGTGTTGCAGGTGCATGCTTTTTGCTCTCACTGCAATTGCAATTTTGTAGCATTAGGCGCGTGAATTAATTTCTAATTGATGGGACCAACAACCATGCTGCCCCACTTCCGATTCCCAGAGAGAGAGTCTGGCCCCGCTCTGCTCTCTTTGGTAAGTGGCTAGCGTATAATTTTTTGTTGTTGACCTAATTATACGCTCATTTTGATTCACTTGATTTTCTCTGCACACAAACACTGGCAAACACTGACACAAACACATACACTGGCACAAACGTTTCGTCACTGCGACAAGTGGAGCAGGCAGCGACGCCGACAGAGCCAGCAGCAGCTTGTGGCAGCGACCGTAATTTCTTGTGGTTACTGGGACGCAAAAACAAATACAAAATATAAATAAGGTGGCATCCACCCCCTCAAAAGAGCTCACAACACAATGCGTGTTTCTAGTAACTGCATCCGAATTCCGAATATCTGCCAATAAATTTACAATTCCGAAATTCCCTAAATACCGAACCAAACTAAACCGAACTGAATCCGCAAACTGCAATAGCTGGTGGGAATGGACGTGGATGTGGATGTGGATGTGGAAGTCCCACCAACTGCATCTGTATCCGTATCCGTATCTGTGTACGTATCTGTAGCTGTCTCCGTTTTGTTTGGAACGGAAATGCCAGGGCTGTCGGCCAAGGGGGGGGCCACCACTTCAGGTGAGTCAGAGTTCAAAGGGGTGGGGGTCGATAGTTATTAGCAACATTTATTTCTGCACTGAGAACAAATATTCTTAAGACATCTTTGGAATCTATTAAGAGAGTTTCTATAAAGCAAATGATTATTTACTCAGAAATACAACCTTTTCATATAACATCTTAGTTAGGATTAATTATGATATGATTTAAAATCAAAAACTAAATTGATTTATGAACTTAAATAACATTTTAAATGTTCTACTTTATAATGCTCTTAAGATAATAAGCTTTGATTAATTTTACTGAGAGTCCACCCATCAGATTAATCTGTAAGAGATGATTCGACTTCGATTTCCCAATCATATTTATTGGGAATTATAATAATCGGTGGTAATTAAATATATTTAAACGTTTAACATTGATATAAACAAAAGGCATATACAAATAGTTTCCCAAAATTTAGACCAGTTTGAAGATCTTCGCTTTTGGGGGAATGCTTAAGTTTGAAGGCCTTTTATTTTATGTTGGGTTATTCTCCCATGAAGAGTGGATGTGGATGTAGCTGTGGATCCCCCTTGGCGCCAAACACCACTGGCGAAGATTTGCCAATCGTTTGGCTCTCCGGCACAATGCACCAATACAGCGATACCCAGAGAGCCGCCACTCACTCACACACACAAACACTGAGACATACAAGCGATGGCACAGAGACACAGATCAGCCGCAGCAGCAACAACAAGACGCAGCAGAATTTGAAATTAGGTCAACAGGTTTGGCTGCTTGTAGTGGTGGGCTGAGCCAGTTACTCGAGCGTATGCCGTCGTCTTTGCCTACGACCTCGGCTGTCATCATCAAGGGGGGTTCAAAGGGGGGTGGGGAATAAGAGGCGGGGGAGCTGAGGGAGCAGCAGCAGCAGCACCACCACCAGCAGCACCTACAACAACAACATCCAAGCTATCGCCGCCAACGCAATATGCGTTCCGTTCCGTTCGCTCGTCGTTTATTGCACCACAGTTCGTGCAGTCTGCAGTTTGCAGTGCAGTTTTTCAGTTGCTGTGGGGGAGATGCACTCACACACACACACACCAACAGACATACATCCGAATTGAGCACACTGCAGTATGGCTGTGTGGGTGGGTTGCAAGGGTGAAGGGGTGCAGATGGTGGGTGGTTGGCAGTAGGTGGCGGGAAAAGGGGTTGTCCGACCGTCACTGTATGCGTGTGCTGCTTTTGGGGAATGAGCCAGGGATGCAGAGCATCATTCTAGCATCCCAAATGCAAGAGACAAATTGGGAATCGATAAGGGAGGGGGTATCAAATCTATTTCATGCTAAAACAGTGAAGAACCCTAAAGAATAATTTTCAAACCAACAAGTTTGATTATTAATTAAAATGAAACATATTAATTATTTAATGTTTTAAACAAAATATATAATTTTATATATTTGAGTCTTAATCCCCCATCACTATACTCCAATTTCTTTACGTCCACAGTACGTGTTTGGGCATAAACTCTATTCTTTGTTAAGGTTATTAAGAAGTGAAACTTTTTGTGGCAGTCATTAGAAATATTTCCAAAGAAAAAGTTTGAGTTCTTTCTAACGCTGATTTTTATTTAAATCCATTTTAAAGAACTTTTTAGAACGCGTTCTAAATTAATTCAGGAAAAATAGAAAGTGAGTTAAAACCGTATGTTAAATTATAGTCTTATAGTTATGTTTCCAAATTAAAGCTTAAGACATAATTGTGTAATGGGATAAGGGTTATTATTGGGGTTCCGTTTCAGATATATTTAAACCAAATCGGATATAGGAACAGGTGTGACTGGCGTTTCAAAATGCCTGAAACCCCTTCTTGAATGGGCAGGTAGCAATCTTCTGGTTGGAAACTGTTGCGAAAACTCGCATATGTTCTGAAATGGAAACTCAACGCGGAGCCGACTGGCGAGACCAACTCGAGTTTCTGATTTGATTTCGATGCAGCCAAGAGATTTCCACATACTTCTTAGTTGGTTTCTGTGTCACAATCACACAGACGAGGTGGATGGGGGAAGGAGAACGGGAGGGCAACGGGAGACGGGGGACGGGCCAAGTAATGAGCTCCCAGAGAGCTGCAGCCATCGCCATAGCCATCGCCACCTGCAGCAGCGACGGAGGCGTCGCAGCCACCGAAGCCGGAGCAGATAATCCCAGTAGAAATTGAAACTAGCTGCGGCAGGTTTAGAAACTGGTATAGAAAAACGCCAGCCATAGCCGCAAAGGCAGAAACAGCAACAGAAACAGCAGCACACATAGGCAATCGACCTTGTAGGAGTGTATTTTGTCTTGGAGCATGCCCGTAAACTGGGCCAACGCGATTGCACTGAAATCAGGTGGGCGTGACGTAGGTAAATACAGTGCAACTCCACGAAGTTGAACTCTCTGTAACTCCATAGGGTGCTTTTGTTTAAAAATCAGTAGGAAAATATTCTAAAAAAAGGTTTTTTAAGGCAATTTTTTAGAGTAATACTTCACAACTAAAAACTTGGGAAAATTATTGTTGACTGACCTATCCTAATAATATTTTATTAATAAACCTAACAAAATTATAAATCATTCATAATGTAGGTAACCCGCTAATGTGTTTTTAAATCAAAATAAAAATATATAAAATTTATAAAGTGATTAAAACTTTACTCTTTTATTGTAGAAATCAAAACCTTCCAATAACTCCTGTTACTTAAGTAACATATGGTGGACCTCCTTATGGAAGTTGGACTGTATGTTGGCCAATAAAAGCGTTAGTGTGTGCGTGTGTGTGTGGGAAAGCTGGCTGTACCCTTGGCGCCCATTAATCCATGGCGGAAAATCCACGAAAATCTGTCGCAATCCGACAGATATCCGAAATAGCCAGGCGCTCGCAGGAGTTTCGTAATTACATACCCGCTAAAATGAAAGAGCGGCAGCCTTGGCTTCTGATTTTCAGTTTCTTTTTCTTGGTTTTTTAGCTTTTCAGTTCTTCGGTTCTTCGGTTTTTGTTCAGTTTTTTTTATTTTTCATTTTGTTTTTTTTTTTCGTTTTAACTTAGCATTAGCACAGCTGGAGTCTTTTGCAATGCTCTCGAAAAAAAAGAAACGCGCTGGGTGTTTGGCAATTTTAGATTTCAAAATACCACAAGGTGCATTCTAACACACACAGGTACACACACACACGCACACTTCAGCACTGGCGCGCTCTCTTACACAGACACACAAACACACACAGGCACTAGGGCATTATTGCAGTTCTTGGATCTATGTTTCTCAATGGATTTTCATGGAGCGGGGGCATTACTTTTGCAATTTGCTATTTGCGTACACTGCGGCGGAGTCGCGGATTATTCAACCAACTAACCTCCCACAAAAACGGCAACTGGAACACAACACAACAATCGCTATGGATGTGGATGTGGATGTGGATGCACTCGAAACAACGCGAACGCCGAGATGCCGAATGGATATGGATTCGAAACCAAACCGAAATCGAAATTACGCGCAGCTCAAAAGGGCAAGAGTTAGCTTTGGGCCCCAAATAATAATAATAATAATAACAACAATAATAATAATAATAAAACTGTCAGTGGACAACGCGCGCCACATCCGAATGGGCCAAAAGACGAATCCACTCTGAGCGGAATCCACTCGGAATCGGAATCGGTATCTCTCACTCCGCCGACGCTCCCAAAGCGCTCTCTCTCTTTGGCGCTCGGTGAAACAAAAACAACTCAAGCGATTCCGATTCCTCAAGGCCTACTATTTAGGCCAAAATATAATGTACCACAGCAACTACATCAGCAGCAGCAGCAGCAGTGGCAGAAGCAGTGGCCGCTGCGGCACTGGCAAAGGCAGCAGCAACTCGTTTCTTACAGAAATGTAAACGTTCTAATTGAGTTCTCATTTATGGCCCGCTACACCGACTGTGCAACTGAGTGTACTGGTAGTACTTGTTGTTGCAATGCCTAAAAACCATCGGAAAACGTTTTTATCCGGCTGGCATAACCATTTTCAAATTGAAAACAAGTTTACTGAACCCTGCTAAAAGTTGGCTTTTCCACCAAGAGCACCGACACTCGTCGTTTTCATTTCAAATCACTTGTCTCAGTGGGATTGGTTTGGCGATTAACTATCCATTAGCAAAATATCTTATGTATCGTGTTTCTTTGAAATCTTGCAATTCTTAAACGATGACTTAAAGCATGCTTTACATTGGAACATCAATTCGAATTTATTTCAAAAGACGTATACTTGATCTGTATTTTAGAAAATTAAGTATCCGCCTGAAACTTATTTTACAGGTGTTTTTGAAACTGTAAAAGTTGATTAATATACAACATTTATTGTATTAAAACATTTTGACTATGTTGATTACACCTTATAACAGTAATAATAATATTTATTTAAAGAGTATATTTACAGGTTAGGTATTTATAAATTAAATATTTAACAATGCCTAGACAAAAACCAATTTAAAATTAATTCTTCAATAACCTAAATTCGATTTTTAACGCATAACTTTAAGAGAAAAGGATTTTATGAATCATTGTCTAAAATAATATGCTTTAAAGTCAAGAGAAGCCTTATTGAATGGTGAAATCTTTGATCCATATTTTCCCCAAGGGGATGTCGACCAGAACGTTACGGTTTAAAAGACTGGCGTACTGAGGTGCTATGCAAGACGAAAATAACCTCATTAATGTTGAAAGAACAGAACTTACAGAAGAGAGCAAAGAACCGGTTTGGCTTCGTATTCCTTTCGTTAAGATAAGCTTTGCTAAATTAAATTTTAACCAAATTTCTTACTAAATGATCAACTATTCCCAATCACAGTCTGGTTCTTGTTTTTGAATCCGTTTAATCTTTCGCCTTAAATCATGATTCCTTTTGTGATAGCGACGCTTTAACGTATGAAAGGCTGCCCTGATATCGGCAATGTAGTCCGTTTGCGTATATCCATCTGTTTTTAGGATTCCTGAAGATGAACGAATTAAATATATTGCCATGGTTTTAAAAAATATTTATAAACTTTTAAGCTTTTTTATTTAACTTTAAAGTAATGTCCTAAGTTATTAGGGTAATAGATTCCTGAATGTATGCAACTGACGGAGTTCAACGTTTAATGTTTTAAAATTTCATACTATACAATTTATAACATTAATTTAAGTTTTGCTTAACTAGTAGTAATAATAAAAATTGGACAATAAAATTTTATAGCATAATTCTTATTTATGGCCAAACTAATAATGCAATCAGTAAATATCATGGAAAAAGAATATTTTTAAAAGCCATAACTTTACATTACTTACCAAAAATAGTTTTGTTTATATGTTTGAACTGTTTAAATGACCGTTTAGTGCTCACACCGTCGTAGTTGTATGTCATGAGAATATCATACTCAAATATCTTTGAGAAATTCTTCTTTAGCGGTTCTATTCGGCCCTCTAGTCTCAAGATTCGGTGAATAAGGTTAGCCTGAGAAGTAAACAAAACTCTTAAACATTTAAATATCAGAGCCATGTAGCAAACAACTTACATATTTATTGCCTGGCTTGGAGAGGTTGGTGTCCAGATTGGGCAGTTCTTCAGGATCAGTTACCGGAAAATAATCCAGTTCCACTTTGAATAATTCACCAGCTGGCTTATTGTGGGCCACTTGGCTAAGACGTGATAGGATCTCATTTTGATTGGCGAGGATTTCATCCAGCTTAGCCTGCAGCTCCGCTATTCCATCTTCAACTATCTCATCATCATTTAACAGCGATTCGTCTTCATTCAGAATGTCAGAATACTTATGGTTATTCATAGCGTCAAATGAAAATGTGAATCCACTTTTAGTCACCAAATAGCTAATCGAACCCATCGTTTAACGTATCCATCCCGTTAATTGTTTTGATAAAAAGTGTTTGTTGTTCATAGAGATGTGCAAAGTTGCAGTTAATTCCGATTTTAAAATGGTCTATCGATTGGTTTAGATTAGCATGGCTCCGAACCCTTTCACATTTGTTAGCCTTTTTTGCAGCTTAAATTTTCAAATGACTTAATTGTTATATTACTAGCAGTTTTTATATAAACGGTTATATTTTATTATTATTTTACATATGAGGATTAAGAAACTTCCTAGAATTGGCCTAATCTAAATATAGTTCCAGGGCTGCGTGCGTTGATAGAACGCTTATCGATTGACTTTCAAACACGGTCACATTAAAAGTGCGTTTCTCGGCGCATTTGCAGGTATTGTGTGTGGCTCCGTTTTGAAAATTTGTTTACCCGATTTAAAGCCGTGACCGAAAGCCTTCTAAGTTGTTAAAGTGTAGATTAAGCGTCCCCGCACCTGTGTAAAGTGTTTTCGTACTGTCATCCGACGTCTTGACAGCTCAAAACTTGATTGAAAATTCAATAGTGACCGCTGTCTGGAGCGGCGGTGTTGCCGTCAATTACTGGGTTCCTTGATTTACATAAGAGCGAAAGAGTCAGCTAGTGTGGCATTGCAGAAATGGCGTCGAAGTATGTGCACATGGCGGGGGCTGACTAGATAATATTTAAGCAATATTTTCTATTTAACCCTAAATTTGCCATTGGAAGTACAATGTCTCTAGGAGAATACCCGAAATTTAATATGTTTCATCAGCAGCAAGGCGTACATTTCGTTTTTTCCGCGCAGTGTACGCCACTTTGTCCGGTTTTGCATTCCTCTTTGTGCGCTTCATTCGGTTTCAATGCCCTCGCATTCAGTGTTGCCAAGTGCCGGAGCGCGTGCCTAGTGATGTGTGCCATCCGAGTCCTGCCTGGATTTGGTGTTTTTGTGCCAATATTGGACTTAATATTGATTGCCTTTTCAGCATCTCTGCGACTAAGATCTTTTGACCGTACTTTTGTGCTCCAATTAATGCTTAATTTAACAGCCTTGCCAACTGCATTCGCACCTGGCAACACTGGCGGCCCGCGCTAATGCGGGTGCGAGGGAGACGCCGATAAAGGCAGATGTAGAAGAGCGAACACAAAAGCGAAAGCGAAAAACCGAAGCGAGGAGGCCAAAGAGTTTATAAATCAATTTTTGTGTATGTCAGTCCCCGCTATTCCCGTTGCAATTGATATTAAGTAGTTTCCGGGTCCACCGGGTCCAGTCTACCAGTTCCTGTGGGGAGAATCTACACATCTTGGCGGACGTGCGAAATGAGAAACTTGATGGAAAAGTAAAGGCGGCAGCGGTTGTTTGATTGTGTGCCATAGTTCGTGTGTGTATGTGTATGAATAATGCATGGAAAGGCGTTATTCACGGCAAACGTTGATAAAACTGTTTTGAAAACAAAAATTTAGTGATTCAGATATGCACTTAGTATCGGGGTCGCCTATCCCCGCCCTCTCTCACTCTCCCATGTTCCCATGAACTACCCCCTTTGGAAAAGCGGCTGACGTTTCGGCTTGGATGCGTCGCGGTCACGTACCCCGCCATTCCCCTCTCTTGCCCACTCCCTGTTACCTGTTTTGCCAATACATTTTCCACCCTCCCCTCAGCACCCCGTTTTCATTAATTTTTGTTATTTCTGAATGCTCGCTTTGTTTGTGCGTACGCTAAGCTTGCCCCCTCTCACCTTCTTTGTTTTGCTGTGTGTGTGCGTGCAAGTGTGTTTGTTCACGTTCTTTCATTCTCTTTTATTAAATGTACATTGAACTCTCATCTTGCCAGTTTTTCTTTTGCGGCTCTGTTTCGGCCACTTGTTTGCAATCCCGCACATCCGCAGATAAAATCTGTCTGGATTGTGGGAATTTATCATTAATATTTCCATTCACTAGCCCCGAGATTTGATATGTTCAGTATATTCTTGAGATCAGGTTTCCGTAATTAGCCGTAATGGCTAGAAATATCTACATATATTCTGGTTGGCCTGTTAACATTGGCTGACAACATTTATTTCAGGTTTTCAAGAATCTAAGCCATTGACCTGTTTTTGCTATTCCTTTTGTTATCTATAGTAAGGATATTTCTCCGGAATTGTTTTATATTTGACGTACGGTTCTATATTTCCAAATCCAGTCGGCACTGATTTAAAATTATATCATTCAGTTTGTAGATCTCGTGGTTTTAATATCGTATCTCTCCTCTTTTTTCGTTCTGCAGCTAATTTGTATATACAGTGTACATAGAGATGAGCACACAAACTCGTTCAGGCGGCGGAGGAGGCGGAGGCCACACCCGCAACCAGAAAAAGTCAAATGCCAGTAACTCCGGAGGAGGAGGAGCAGGTCACCACGATGGAGTCTCACATGCTGCGGCCGCAGGCAAGAAGGGCGGTCAGGATGCCAGCAAGACAGACAAACCAGAGAAGGCCCAGCCCAAGGCCACCACCGAACAGTTGCGCATTGCCCAGATCACCAATAGCACCACAGAGGATCCGCAGATCAATGAGAAGGTCACCCTTCTGTTGACTATGACCCAACGTTCCGAAGAGGAGGTCTGCTGTGCCCTCAACGAGTGCGATTATGATTTGGAGGCAGCGGCCAACTTTTTGATCGAGGAGCTACCGCAGGTTAGTTTAATTACTATTACTATTACCATCAACTTCTTCAATCTTATCCGTTTCAGGGCGCCTTTGCCAAGTACGAGAAGAAGCGCAAGAACAAGGCTGCAAATGCCACGGCTGATGGTGCCGGTGGCGATGGCGATTGGGCCGATGGCAATGCAAATGCGGACAAGCGAGAAAAGTCACGGAACCGTAGCTCAAATCGCGGTGGTACCCGCGGCTCCACCGACAGTCGTGGATGTAAGTCCCAATCTTTATTTATTAAAGGACTGACAACTTTATACAGTCTAGTTATTAAATGATGTGAATTCACTCTTTTACTTAACTGAATCAAAACCTTATCTTCCGACTTTAAGGGCGCGGAAGAGAGACCCGCGAAAACGAGCGCAATCAGCGCGAATCTCGTGAGCCTCGCTCTGGCGGCGACCGCGGTGAGGATCGGGCCAATGACAACTATCGCGGGCAGCGCAACGGCGGTGGACGCAGTGGACCTGGTGGTGGTGGACGAGGCGGTGGCTTCGTCTCGCGCTCTGGCCGCGGGGGCGGCCGAATGGGCGGACGTACAGGTGGTCCACGTGGCGATCGCGGCAGCGGAGGCACCGGCGGTGGTTATGGACCTGGTCGCAGTGGCAATGCCAACGAGGACCACCACGAAGTGGAGCTGTGGGACAACACCATTGCCCAGAACGCCGAGAAGCAGCAGCAGGCTCATGACGATGCCTGGGGCGATTGGAACAATGAGGAATACGAGGGCTCGCTCAAGGACAGCAAGGTGTTCACTACGAGCAACCTGGCAACGCAAACTGCTGCTAGCGTGGTCAGTGGTACTGGATCGAGTGGAACAGGAGCCTCGACTGTAACTGGTAGCGAGTTATCGGCCCCACCGGGTCTCGAACACCAGTTGGTACAGGGATCTCATTTAGAGGAGAGCTCGAGTAGCGGACCAGCGGCAGTCACACCGCCAGCAACGCTGACCGGTTCGGCGACAACGCCGCTGCTGCAGTACAGCGCAGCGGTCAGCAATCCACCGCCCCAGCTTCAGTCTCAGGGCACGCAGTCAGGAGCGGGAACGGGAACTAGCGCCGCCGCTGTAGGAGCGGGCAGCACTCCATCATCCTTTGTTTCCGCCTCACCCGACACATTCTCAAGCGCCGCGTCTGCAGCCGCTACGCTGGTGCACCAAGCTCAACAGCAGCAACAGCTCCAGCAGCAGCAGACGACGCCAATCAAGCCGTCGGCTACGCTGTCGGTCGAGCAATCTCAGTATTTCAACTCGTTGGCGAGCCAAGGTGTCAGCCCAGGATCCGCAGCAGTTCCGGCGCCAGCGGGTTTCTCGCAAAACCCTGTCGCAGCGTACTCGCAAACGACCACTAGCGTGGGTGTGAGTCAGTATCCCAACACATATGCCAACGTGTTTGCCTCGGGAACGGCAGCAGGCACTGGCGAGCAGTCTCAGCAACAACCACAGGTGCGACGGGCTCGCGTAAAGCTGCCACCGCCCTCGAAGATCCCGGCAAGTGCAGTCGAAATGCCAGGAGACAATGCCCTGAACAACATTGGCTACCTGGACGTGCAATTCGGCGCTTTGGACTTCGGCACAGACGACGGTTTCGAGCCCCTGCCGGAGAAGGTTGGGTCTGGCTTTGGCATTGACGGGCAGCAGCAGCAACAGCAGCCAGATGACTACCAAAGTAAATCCCAGCAGCAGCAACAACAGGCAACGTTGGCAGCGGGTCTGCAAAGCTCCCAGATCGTGAGTTAATCTTTCATTTGATTTCGAAAATTATGATTTTCCTTTCCTATCACACTAAATTTATTTTGATCATTTTCCATCTTTACAGAACGATGCCTTGAGTGCAGCGGGCTATACGAGTCGCTCGACAGCGCAACAGCAGCAGCAAGGCGTTAGTTCGGCGGTAAGTGCCACGACTGCGCTGGATCAGTTGGCCAAGAGTGATCCTTACGGTCAAACGGCCGGCAGTGGTAACGCCTATCAAAACGCATACCAGAATAGTGGAGCGGGAAAGGCGGCCAGTGGCTATCCTACGACGGCGCCTGGTGGCTACAGCAGCTCCACTTATGCCAATGTGCAGAGCTCGGTGGCCAGCAGTTATCAACAGCAGGGATATGGCTCGTACCAGCCCAGTTCTTACCAGCAGCAGACTAGCACAGGGGCACAGAGCGGTACAGGTGCGGTAGCGGGAGCAGGAACGGCGACGCAAAACATTCCGGTCGGAGGCAGCAGCAGCCAAAATAGCACAAGGTATGCTAGGATCTATCATCATTGATAATTTTTTGTTTAGGATACCCTTGTAGAGGGTTTAAATTCACCATAAAAAGGAGTTTTATTGGGCTCAACTGTTAAATTTCTATGTTTCTTTACCTATGCAACGTC